ATTTATAGATTTGCATATGTTGAATCAGCCTTGCATCCCTGGAATAAAGCCCACCTGGTCATGGTGAATTATTTTTTTGATATGCTGCTGAATTCGATTTGCTAAAATTTTGTTGAGCCTTTTTGCGTCTGTATTCATGAGGGATATTCGTTTGAAGTTTTCTCTTTTTTTTCTGTTGTGTCCTTTCCTGGCTTTGGTATCAAGGGATTGTAGAATGAGTTAGGAAGGATACCATCTTTCTCAATGTTGTGGAATAATTTCTTCAGTATACATACCAATTCTTTTTTGTGGGTTCAGTAAAATTCAGGTGTGAACCCATCTGGTCCAGGACTTTTTTCAATTAAAAATTTTCTGCTTTGATGATTTGTCATCTCTGCCAATGTATGAAGTCCCTGTCAATTATGATGCCACTGTGTATTTTTTTGCTGACATCTAGTAGAATTTGTTTAGGAATCTGGGAGCTCTTATGTTAGAAGAAGGTATATTTAGGATTGTTACATCTTCTTGTTGAATTTCTCCCTTTACCATAATACAATGACCATCCTAGTCTTTTTTAAACATTGTTAATTTAAAGTCTGTTTTATCGGATATGAGAATGGCTACATCTGCTGTCTTTTGATTTCCATATGCATGGAATATTTTTTTCCATTCCTTCACCTGGAGTTTGCATGAGTCCTTGTGGATTAGATGTGTTTTCTGGAGACCGTAGATACTTGGATTGTTTTTTCATCCATGCAACCGGTCTGTGTCTTTTAAGTGGGGCATTCAGACCATTTACGTTGAATGTTAGTATTGATATGTGGGATGCAGTTCTGTTTAACATGTTGGGTGATACCTTATTGTTTTGTTTTCCCTCTTGTGCTATTGCTTTATAAAAGCTGTGAGCTTTAACTTTTGGGTGTTTTTACACTGGTTGATATCTATTGTGCTATTCCAAGGTTAACGCACTTTTGAGCATTTGCTGTAGGAAAGTCTAATAGTGACAAAAATCTCTTAATGTTCACTTGTAGGGAGCAGTATTTTTTTCCTCCATTATTTGTGAAGCTTAGTTTTACAAGATACAAAATTCTTGGCTGACAGTTGTTCTTTTCAGAAGACCGAAAATGGGGCCACAGTCCCTTCTGGCTTGTAAGGTCTCCACTGAGAAGTCTGCTGTTAACCTGATGGGTTTTCCTTTATAGGTAGTTATTGCTTTTATCTTGCTGCTCATAGAATTTTCTTCTTCATTTTGACCTTGGCTAAGTTGATGACAATGCGTCTTGGAAATGCCCTATTTACTATGACTCTTCCCAGTATTTAATGACTATCTTGTATCTGGATATTTGAATCTCTGGTGATACCAGGGATTTTTTTCCTCAATTTTCTCAAATAGGTTTTCCATGCTTTTTCTTCTTCTCCCTCATGGCTATCTATAATTTTTATATTGGTTCACTTTACATAGTCCCATATTTCAGTGTGTGATTGTCCATTCTTCCTTATTCTCTTTTCTGCATCTTTGACTGACTGGGTTATTTCAAGAGCCTTGTCTTAGTGCTCTGAAATTCTTTCTTCTGCTTGGTCTAGCCTGTTGTGGAAACTTTTTGCTGTATTTTGAAATTCCCTAAGTGACTCTTTCATTTCTTTAAGTTTTGTCATATTCTCTCTTATGTTGTCTAGCTTTTTAGTGTCTTTTCATTTTTAATTGATTTTCTGAATTTTATTTTTTTGCTTCTTTGTGTTGGCTGTCAACATTCTCTTCAATTCCATTCAGCTTATTTTCCATCCATATTCTGAACTTCATTTCTGATATTTTGACAATTCCCTTTTAGTGAGTCCATTGCTGCCCATCCATTGTAATCTCTCAAGGGGTGTCAAACTGTTTTGTTTTTTCATGTGCCAGAATTCTTTTGCTGGTTTCTTCTCATCTGAATCCTCTTCGCTCAGCTCTGAGCTGATAGGTTTACAGCACACCTATTCTCCTTTGCTGGGAACTCTCCTACTTAGTGAGAAGAAGGAGAGGCCCCTAGATGGCACCTTTGTGTCCTATTCTAGAAAATTGACCCAGTAGGGTGATGTGGTTGCACGGAGAGCCTGTAATACAGCTGTTCTGTTTTGTCCAATT